CATTTCTATGAGTTGTGCCTGGAACTAAGCAGTGTAAATGCATTTTTTTGTCTTTTCTCTCGCAGCATATGGGAAATGAGTAATAATGTTGTTTTCATTGAACAGGATCGTCGTCATCCAGGCCGGAGATGTTCGAACAAGCCTTTTGTTTCAACCTTTTGAGAAGCTGTGAGTTTTGTAACTTTGCGCATTTCTGCGAGTTGTGCATGGAAATAAGCAGTGTAAATGCATTTTTTGTTGTTTTTTCCTGCTGCATATGAGAAGCATTGCGAATCGTGGCGTCGTCGTCCAGGTCGGAGAAGTTCGAACGAGGCGTTTCGTTGCAACCTATTGAGAAAGTATAAGTTTTGTAATTTGGCGCGTTTCTGTGAGTTGTGCCTGGAAATAAGCAGTGTAAATGCATTTTTGTTGGTTTTTCCCTTGCAGCATATGGGAAATTAGTAATAATGCTGTTGTCATTGAGCAGGTTCGTCGTCATCCAGGCGGGAGAAGTTCGAACAAGGCGTTTGGTGGCCACCTTTTGAGAAGTTACAAGTTTTGTAACTTGGCTCATTTTTGCGAGTTGCGCATGGAAATAAGCAGTGTACATGCATTTTTCGTTGTTTTTTCTCTGCTGCATATGAGAAGCATTGCGAAACGTTGTTATCTTTGCTTAGGTGTGTGGACGCCTGGCTTGGTGCTGTGATATACACAGCAGGACCAAACGGTCTAGGGCTGAGTCGACATGGTGATTGCATCGCACAAACCTTCGAGCAGCTCTCTCACATTGCTTGTGGGCAATAGGATTGATGATTTTCTGCATGTTGTTTCTAACTTTTATCATGTATGCGAGCTGTGCATGGAAATATAAGCAGTGTCATTGATTTTTCTTCGACATGTCTGCTTTCTTGCTCAGGACACTCGGACCAGTTCGTCTCCGACGACCGGCTCTCTGACGAGATACACACAAACGGATACACACTGACGAACAAACACATACACACAAACACACACCTTACCAACGCCTACATGCAAACAAGCGTCATGCAGCCTAAACCCACCCACACACTCATACACACTCACGAAGAAGCACACACACTCAAAGACGCACCTCACCTACACACACCGACCCTCACGCCTTCTATTTGTCTCGCCTGTCTCTTCCCCATGCTCACTCTTCAGCACTCTATTTCTGCAGCTTCAATCTTTCGAAGTTGTTCCCATGTGGAGTTATCCGGTCCTATAATTAGAGACCAGTCTTTTTTGTTCCTTCCTTTTCCTTTCTTCATTTATTTTTCAACGCTGGGGCTGCGATGGCCGCCTGGTCTGAGGAACTGCGGCACACAGCTCCAATTGGAGAGTCCCTGCCAAGGCGGATGTGGGTCTTTTGCACGTGCATCACAGGTTGACTCGCGATGGCCTCCAAGCTACTAGCGATGGCCTCGCAGATCATGTTACACACTTTGAGTCAAAGTTGGTGTCAAACCTTCAACTGCAACTGTCTCCTGATCTCATAGTCTGACTGTCATGTTTCGCAGGGGAAAAGCGATGCGGTCAGGGGCCCAAAATAGGTGTAACTTTTGATCCTTTCGGACATTGTTTTTGTTAAAGAAGCACAAAGGATCGTTTCGTTTTCTTTTGGCACTGTTCTTCTGTGGGTAACTTGTTCAACGATGATTCTTGTTTCTTTGTTCAAGGCCTTGACTTACCAAGAAGCTACTAGGGGCTCCTGGCATCGCTACGAACGGAGCAAAGGACGCTTCGATGCGCCCTGAGGACTTCCGCCGTCTCCGGCGCCCTCCACAAGTTCCACGGCTTCCACGTGGAGACCTGATGGGCACACTGTGTCAGAAACGAAGTGTGGCGCTAACGTGGACCTTGTTAGACAAAAAAGAAGCAAGGACGCTACTAGGGGCTCCTGGCTTTACTACTAGGAGCAAGG